TTCAAACTCAACCAACTTTTAACTTGGAAATATATCATAACTTTTTTGCTTTGAACTTGACCAATTTTTAACTTGGAAAGATATCATAAGTTCTTGGCTTTGAACTCGGTCAACTTTTAACTTTGAAAGATATCATAAGTTCTTGGCTTAAAACTTAGCCAATTTTTAACTTGGAAAAATATCATAAGTTCTAGGCTTTGAACTCGTCCAACTTTTAACTTAAAAAGATATAAGTTCTTGGCTTCAAACCCAACCAACTTTTAATTTAAAAGGATATCATAAGTTTTTGATTTCGAACTCGACCAATTTTTAACTTGGAAAGATATCATAAGTTATTGACTTTGAACTCGACCAATTTTTAACTTGGAAAGATATTGTAAGTTCTTGACTTTGTACTCGACCAATTTTTAACTTGGAAAGATATCAAAATTTCTTGGTTTTGAACTAAACGTTTTAATTTGGAACAATTGCATAAATCAAAATTGTGCTCTCAAATAAGCATAAGAACTTCAAAATTTGGCCTTCTAACTTATCCATTTTGTAAGATTGGCATCAAACATGGTTTCTTTATTTTACAAATTTTGAAATTGTCTTCTAAAATTTGTTTTTCGTCTTAAACTTGGTCTTTTGCTCATTAAGTTTTGAACTATGTTTTTCAAGGATTAGGCTTCATACTCATCTTTCTAAGATTGGTTAGGATTCAAACTCAACCTTTTAAGATTAGTTAGGATTTGAACTCAGCCTTTTAAGTTGGTTAGTTTTAAATTAAAACTTAGCATTAATTCTGAATTAATCAATGCAAGAAGAAACATAAATAAGGGAAAATGCAGAATTTAAATAAATGCAACTACTTACTGCAAATAGAGTTCATTGATTAACATAATTAAGCATATACATCCCTTTATTATTTATTTATTTTTTAAATGTCTCCAAGCCAAAACCTTTATTTTTTCACATTGCAACAAAAAGCTAAAGTGGAAAAAAAAAAGAAGTAAATCACCTGAATATGTATCTAATTGAAATAAAATTTTAGATGAGTGACATTCCAAATTGTTGTTATGCTTTTGCTTCTTAGTTTTTCTAAAGTGGATAAAGTTTGCAGCAAACAACTTTTTTGTTTCAGCTTTGTCTGCTTCTTTTCTTTTTCTTCCCAACTTTCGTTTCTTTTGGCTTCTTTACATATTGCTAATTTGTGGCATATGAAATTTGGGTCAATCTCAGGCGTATCTGCACTACACCAAGCAAAAAGGTCATCATTTTTAGTATGAACTTTCATAATTTTACTTTGAGAGTGCCACCAAGGTTTTTTATGCTCTAGTACATTTCCTTAGCTTTATCCCAAGTTGAAATTTTAAGGGCTTGGTTTGTGTTCAAATGAGAGTGTGATCATCGATAAAAGTAATAGGCAAGTTTGGGTTGTTAAGTTGGCAAGATATTGAATTGACATTGTGTGTGGCTTTCAATTGCTACTTCCTTGCTAGTTTGGTACTTCCACCCTCTATGAATTCTCCAGAGATTGTATTAATAACACCTTGGATCCCTTTAGTATCATTTGGATTTTTGGTTGGTTGTTGTTCCATTGGATTTTCTCCATGCTCTTCATTTTACCAATCTTGTTGTTTTGGACCATAACCCCATCTTCTTCCTCTTCCTCGATAATTGTCTTGATGTGATTGATGATAATGGACATACCGGCCAAGGTGACTTGCTTGGATTAATTCTTCAATTTTGTCCTTGTAATGTCCAACCTTCTTCATTTGTATGACCTTTATTTTGATGCAATTGATAATGTTTGTTTTGGCCTTCTCAACACTTGCCAAATTATGTCTAGTGGAGGTAGGTGATCAAATATGCTTGTGAGTTTTCTCTAAAATATTAATTCGATGAGCATTTAGTGGAGTATAGAAATCACGTGACACCTTCTACCCCACATGCCATAATACAATATAAAACTGAATAACCTCAATACAATAAATAAACTCAAAGTTCACACAAATAGAGAGAATCACATTTTAACATAAATTAGAGTTAGCAGAAATAACAATTACAATGGAAATAAAAATTAAACTACTCAAAGTAAATAGCAAGAATCAAATCCTAATTAGTCTTAACTAATTCATTGGTGTCACGTGTACTATCAGAGCAAAATCCAATGTTGAGGACTAAGCCTCATTACCGGCATCCTCAGCATCATGTTGATGATTACCTGTAAAAAAATCACAAGACAATACAAAAGAAAAGGGAGTGAAAACATCTCATTTTGCCTCATGATGTAGGAATATAAACCGACTAGTCAAATACAAACAACACAGACGACATGATATAGCATATACATTGACACATCATCATATTTAACCCATTCATAGCATAGTAAGTAACAACAAATAAAATTATAATGCATATGCAATGGACACAGATGATATAAAACTTTTTTCCATCTAGATAGTATGATGATTGTAATGTAAGTAGAATTTTAAAAAAATGTATAATATAATCATGAGTGTGACTTTTCATTATTTGTTTTAAATTTTATTTCCTTTTATTTAATTTTCCTTTTAATAAAAAAATAACAATAAGTACTCATTTGAACAACAGTATCCCAAACAATAAAATTCTTGAGTTAGGAATGTAAACCATGTAATTGAAACAAACGTGGAGACAAGTGATTCTAAAATAACTAGTGAAAGTGGTGACACAGAAACAGAATGGCCAGTGGCGAGGGTCTCGTGACTGTCGAAGCTGTTATCATAGCATGCGTTGTGGCCTTGTTCCCGTCAACTACAGTATCCCATTAACTTTAAATAATTAAAAAATGACCTGCTCACTATTGTACGTTTGGCACTATCACTCCATCTATGACTATGACCGACAAATAAAGCAAAAGTACCAACAGCTTTTCTTGCCACTAGCTTTTCTGAAAAAGGGAAGAGGAAAAGAATAAATAAAAATGAAACTTATAAAGTACTAAGTAGATTCCAATTTTTGCTATCTTTGGATTGCTCATAAGAAGAAGTGGTGAAATGAAATTTTAATGTTTTATTATTCGGGTTTTTAAATTAAATTGGAATGGTATATAATGAAGTAGATTGCATTCAATTTCATCGAAAATCTTAATTGCATATTTTTTTTCTAAAAGATTTCACAATATCACAAATTTTGTTTTCAAAGATTTATTTTTTGCAGTGAATTTTGTTCCTTAACTTACAAAATTCACAAACTTTGTCCACACATAAAAAAACATGTGGCAATTTTTCTAGATGGAGCAAAATTTGTGAAATTTTATAAATTGGAGGACAAAATTTGTGAGAATGCAAAACTTTGAGGGTAAAATGTGTAATTAAACCTAACTTTTATACCTTTTCAATTTTTGAGGTATATAATAAAATCAAAAAATCTTTTTTTTTTCATCATAATATATCCAAATGATGGAAGGATAATTTTATTTTATTCCATTCTAGTATTATAATATATATCATTTCACTCCACTTATTATTAGGTATCCAAACATAGCCTTAGAAGAAAAAAGAAAGAAAGAAAGAAAAAAAGAGAAGGGAGGCATTTTTTAATAAATATTTTCTAGTTTATTCTTTTTTAAAGAATAGATTAACACAAATTTAACGTTTTAATATTTTTTTTATAAATATTACATAACTTTCCTTTTAAAAATAAAAAAAATCAGCCTTATTTCCATTCCTTAATATAATTTGGTATAAAGTTTATTTTCCCATTGTTGGATCTACTTTATATCATAATTAGATGAGTTTGGTATGATTTTTCATTTGTGTTGATTCATTCATTGAATAATCTTTAGATTACAGAGAGGATCCATAATATACTCATTCGTCTATTACAATATACCCAATAAATATTTTCTAATAAACTACAAAATTTGAAAAAGACAACTGCTAAAAGGTCCAGTTGCTTTTATACTTTAAAGTCATATTTACCTTGGTATCAGGACCACTTCAACATTTTTCACTGGTGTTCATCTTTCTGCAAGTCAAAGTTACTTCTTTCTTAAAAGGACCTGAAGGACAAGGTACCAAATGAAACATTAATTAAGATTAATCAGGACCACTTCAACTTTTTTCACCAGTGTTCATCTTCTTATGATAAAAGATAAATTCCATAACCTTTAGTATATTAATTAAGATTACACTCTTATAATTGGTCTGGATTCCAATGTAAATATACAATTTAAATTAATTGAAGTTTATATCGCTATTACATCTAACAAATTGAAATTAACTTCATTAAACCTAATTCTATCAAACTTTAAGATAGCAACGGAAAAGTAATCACAAATAATAGAACACATCAGCAACATAAAAAAATATAAAAAAAATCAATCTCCTTTAAACAAAGTCTCAAATTCAAGATTTTAGACGAAAAATTTATCAATAAGAAAAACTCACAAAAAGTGAGACCAAACAAATTTCTTGATAAAACGAATAGTCATCAAAATAAATAATAATTAAATAAAAATCCACGTTTCTTACTTCCACAAGTCAACAATGATAATATATAAATTTTATTTCAACATTAATTAACACACATAATTTAAAATATTCACGGGAGTATTCAATTAATTTGCAAGTAAAAATATATCAACTTTAAAGACTAGCCTTTGTTCACCGTACAAAACAAGTATAACTTGAATGGTACAATGTTTAGGTCATGTAGCACGTCATCATTTTCAAAAACAAATTCAACTAATGATTCACATTTCAGAATCTAATGTCACAAGCAAATAACATTATTGGCCACTGAAGACCATCTTTGAAAATTGGCATTTCAAAAGTTTCTGCCGACCAAGTTTACGAACCTTCAAACGTGGGCAAAGAAACGAGAAGTCAAATTTGTCAAAACATAAGTTTAACTTCCAACCAAATCATAGAAATTTGGAAGTACAAACTCTCGAGCCTTTAGAAAAGAAAAAAAAAAACTCATGTCAAAAGCTCCATACAGAAAGTAAAGGAGAGAAAAGAGAGGAGAGAATATAACACAAAGCAAAAAAGGGAAAAGTTAGTAAATATGGGGACAACGTTAAGGACATGAAACATAAAGAGCTATTGCTCTCTAATGTAATCATGACCAATTCAAGATAAATGAAAGATTATGTTGCACTGCCACCAGGCTTTTACTTTGTTCAGCATATGACCAGAACTATGGATAAAACATGCATCCTATATTGGTTCCCCACACAAGTCAACAAAGAGTACATAAAGGATAAATACAAGAACTTGAATGTTGTTATAGCCCACTTAACAAAACAAACATCTAAATTAAGCGAATAGATAACAATATTTTGGTCTCCAATATCACAAGTTACTAACGCAAATCATAACAACTGTGGACATTCTCTTCTGCTACCTTATGCCAGAGTCACTACTAGTATACATCATGATTTTCAGATCAATACTGCAGCACGTTGCACGCCCTGCAAACAATAAGCATTATTTAATAACACCCGAGAGTCAGAAGAAATAAAGCAAATAATGAAGTAAATAAAATAAAGTGCAGCAGCAGCACCATTACTCAGCCAACATCGTGAAATCGTCTAAGTAGCAAAGACATGCGACTCATTTGTGTTCCATAAGACATAATATACCATTGTTAAACCCACTAAGCACTATACCCATCTGTATAGGACTAAATGACCGGAACTAGCTTGACAATTAATTAGATTGCTCAATGCTCAGATGTAACTCCTATCAGCATTACATCATTCACTCTCTTTTTTTTAACTTACCCATTGTTAACTTGTGCCAAACAATAGCTATTTCATAACATTTTCATGCTAGTGAACCTACAGATTCTATTAATGAGAATTGCACTAGAATACTTTATCAAATACCATGTCTCTTGGAGGATAAAGATTGCTGCTTACTTTGGTGCAATAACTTCCCACTGCCTTGCTCCTAAGTGAATGCCCTGGAGGGAAATCATCTTCAACATGTCTTGTAAAGGAAGGTCCAGAGCATGTAACTGCAGATGGGTCAATAGCCTCTTTGTTTGCAATAGCCTCAGTTAATGAAAAGCCAAAGACTCTGCATCTACTTTTACATGAGGGAACCAACTCTTGACTGGTTCTCAGTACTGAAATGGAATCGTGTGAATGTGAACTATCCAACTGATTATGAAAGCTTGGAAGACCAAAACAATTTGTGCCTTCCTGGGCTAGTCCACAGATAGGAGGCTTATAGGGGGTTGATACAAAACTTCCACCTTTCACTTCAGAAGTGTATGAACCTAGTTGATGGAATTTACCTTCCATCACCTGACTAACTTTGTTGATATAATCTGAGTTTGAAACTGGATTGACAGCTTGCTGGAACTTTAACACAGATGATGGAGATGAAACTTGCCCAGATGGAACAGGTGAATGCAAATGTGAAGATTTGTTACTCATATGGGAAGACCATCCATTTCTGGATCTCAGCGCTTGGTAACCATCAAAAAGTCCAAAGCGACCATTACCACAAGCCTCATCAACAGATAGGGCCCTTCTTCCATATGGTTGGCTTGGAAGTATTTCTTGACCTTGCAAGACCTTCTGGAATCTGAAAGATTCACCAAAGCCTATGCCATTGCAGGAAACATTGGAACTCACTTGGGGGATTCCAATGCTATTTCCTGTTGCAGCAATCCTAGAACAGATTGAGCCTGGATAGCACCTCCTCAAATCAGATAGCTGGTGACTCTGAGCATTAATACTATCAAAAGTAGTATTAACACCCAAAATTTCTTGACCTTGCAAGACCTTCTGGAATCTTAGTGATTCCCCAAAGTCTGATGTTCCAATTGCATCTGTCATTAGAACGGATCATATCAACAATGTTGCATTTGGTAGGACAGCTCAAAAGTAAACAAGAAAAATTGAGACATACTGGGAACTGGAAATTCTAGCTTGGCTGAAGGCAATCCAATCTTGGTCCTCTTCAAACCAGCTGACATCAAGTTATTCGCTGTAGAAGCAGAACCAAATGGCTCAATCTCCCATGGGGAAACCCTATTATACCTGGCGGCTTCTAAGTCATCCCACCTTACCTGCAAATATCAGAAACAACTTATGGTCACCATCAACTAAGATATTCTAAAAAAGCCATCATATAAGAATTCAAAATTATGAGGATATTAAATTGACCAGATATCAATAAAAACAACTGTATTTTCCATTAAGAAACTATGCAATCAATCTTCTGAAGTTATGAGCTGAAAACCAAAAAGTCTTCATACTGAGCAAAAATTTCCAAATAAACCGAGTAAAAATACCAGAAGGATGATAACCATTGATCTGTGATATAAATTTAATAAAGCATGCCAAAAACTAAAGAAATAAAGCCACTAGCAGCATACAAAGTTTATGTATATGTACTAAAAAACAAACAGGTGACAGGAAGGAAAAGCAACCATATATCAATGCTAAAAATTCAAGAAATATACCCATGTCAAAAACATTTTTACCCTTAAACAGGAGCTATAACAAGAATGCCCGTGATCGATTTTATTTTTCCTGGATATCTCTTACCACTCTTTAATGCTGCTTATTGGTATTCAAATTTCAAACTTTCTATCAGTCAAAATGCTGATGTAACTACAATCCTTTACAGCTTTATAATTGCATCAACCTAACGTGCATATCAATCACTTCCTTCGATCTCTACATACCATCTCAACCAGAAATAATACAGTGTGATATGTGGGTTTGAAAATCCAAATTTTCTTAGTTTACTATATGCAGTATTTAGCTAGTATGCAGAAAGGCTGATCGGTTTAAGTTTCTACATCTTTCAGATTAATTGACTTCAATTCGGTCATCGAATTCTGTGACTAAATAATTCAATCACGGAATTATGTGACTATTAAAAAATAAGGCATACAAAACAATAAAGAACCCGGAAGTTTTGAAAGCATGCCCTAAAATGTCAAGTTAGACGTTAGGCATACAGGTTTAGGCCATAACAAATGCACGATTTTACAAAAAAAACCATCTGACACAATATATTAAAAGAAAAAAGTAGCTGGAATAAAGGCCATATGCCAGGTAGCCACAAAAACGAGGATCCACAACATTAATAAAACAGCTAAAGGCAAAAAATTCAAGGGAATCATCTAGCTTCAAGTGTCAGAACAGCCATCTACTGACAAGCTTAAGGCATGCAAATGATAACTATGATAGGAAAAGTTTAAGAGACCCCAGCAACGTACCATTAGGCATCTCCATTTCGATCCAGGCCATCTGACAGGATCCACATCAGTAATTCCAACAATTAATCCTGTGAATCTGCCACAAAAGATAATTGACTAAGATTCTCTATTACTAGTGTTATCTAAATGGAACAAGCATAAGCATGAACAAACCTCCGCTCTGCAGTATCTTCAGTTTCAAAACGCATCCTGAACCTCATTCCAACTGAATAAGAATAATCAAGGCTCTTTAAAAATTTGTGGATAGGTATGATGAACTCAGATGAGCTGACCCTACAAGGACACAGCGAAATATAGAAGACACTAATCAGATACCAGAAGGGAAAGAAAAAACCAGGAATGACAAGAAATCCATGAAAACTTAGACCAAGATAGTACATGCAAGTAAAATCATGAACTGAAGTAAAATCAGGCATTAGCAATAACGAGCTATAGTTATTGCGCTGCAGAGTTGAGTACATGGATGTCTGGGCAATGAATTAAAATGGAAGAAAAGACGGAATTACATGTTGCTAGTATTTTCACGTAATAATGTTTTAAGTTGAAAGGGGAAATTATTGGAGAAGTATCTCTCTGCTATTGGCTAAGAAAATATGAGGATAAATAATTAATGTATTTGGCATTAGGCATGAACACATATAAGCCTTTTGTGAAAAAATAAAAAATAAAAAAAAAAAGATAGGCACAAAGTAGAACTTGCTGTTCAAATCTTTAGAACGTAAACAAAAAATACTAGCTTGGCTTGTCTGCGCATATCTTAGTAAACATACTATAAAGCATGTGGAGCAACCTGAGGCTTTCAATAAGTTGTGGGAAGTAGATAAGAGCTTGATTGGTTTTGATTTCTTCTATCAAACTATATCTCATGTCCAGCTCCTCAAACTAGAATGGTTAGGCTACAAAATTGGGGACATGCCGATTGAGTGATTGTTACTTCATATATAACTAAACGTCCTTCTGAATAGAATAAGGAACATTGCATTTTATCTTATCTTATACAAAAATAACACTCGGTGAATTGTAGATAGAGACTGACAGTTTCACTTTCATTATCTACCAAGTAAAGTAGGAGAGAATAACCAAGAATCATACCTTGGATTATAATGGATGGTAAAGGCACATCTTGTGGATAAAGCATTAACCACTTCTACAAGACTGCCAAGATTCAGTTGCTGGCAGGGAAGAGATGAAAAGGTAATGCCACTTTTCAATTGAGCAGCCCTACGAATTCCCAACCTCAGTTCGCCATCTTCACCCCTGCCATTGAGTATAAAATGTGGGTCCAGTCCTCAATATGTTTACTAGCTAATATCTGATAAAATCAAGGCCCTACCTAAGAAAAAGGACAGCATCTCCAGATACAAGTTTCTTCTTGTTCACAAATGCACTCCACCCGGTAGTAAGCAAGTGCCTTCGTGGCTGCCCTGCTCACCAGAAACAGGAAATACAAACCCCAAACAATGAATTGGCAGTTTGGCACTCAACTTGGTATGTCCTTTAACATACAAACATGAGACACATGAAACTTACCCCTGTAAATATGACGAAACCTCCATTCCTGGCCATGCAGATCCTTTGCCACAAGCTCCTGTGAAGGTCTCTGTTGACTGTAATCCTAAAGCAAGAGTGGACTTAAATTCAAAATGCTATGGAAGAATTATCTGGAACAATTCGATAGCAGTTGTTACAAAGAAAGATAAGTTTCAAATCGGACAAGGGTGTGTCATTTCAAAACATTCACAAGGACTTGCTGGTATGTTTGAATTAACTTCACCATAAACACTTTTAAGACAAGAAACAAAAAATCTCTACAAGTTAAAAACATATTTTAAAGAAGCCAATCAGAAAAACCTCTACAATAAGCTAATTTAATAGCTTTCCTTCTGAATAAAGAAGTGTTTTTCTGGATAAGGTTTCAATAGCAATGCATTGTCATTGTCATTCTCATTCTCATTCATGATTACCAGGGGAGGAAAGCAATCTTCGGCAGCACGACGAGGCACGGAGAATCCCCCATGAGTGCTAGTATCGGAAGCAGTGAGAGTCTTGCAGAACATGTGTGGAGTGGTGGACTTCATCCCAGCTTCAGCATCCTCCTCTTCACCAGCAGCATTCATTCCCTCTTCCCGTAACTTCTGCTGCACTTGCTATAAACAAGGACCAAGTTAATCACAGCACAAAGCCACTCCCTCTCTCCCACACAACCAAAGAAGGAAATGCTGGTACCTCAGTTTCGGGAACCAACACCACCTGGCAGTACACTTCATCGCTCCCTTCCTCGGCCTGCACAAACACAAACACAAACACAAACACCAACACATTCCACGTGAATGACGAAACAGCAACAACAAAAGCAGACAGGAACACTCACACTCACGTTAAGGTTGACATGGAGGACACGACAGAAGACATGGGAGGGGATGTTCGCAGATACAGGAAGCGAAAAGTGGCGAAATTGTTCCACGTGTCCCTGCGGGAAGTAAACCACAAGACTCCCTTTCTTAGGCAGGGAAATCATGGGACCCGCACAGGCGTGCCAGAGCTCCAAGCACACAGAGGAGGAAGCGGAAGCGGAAGCAGAAGCAGACGAGGGCGTTTCATCATCCTCGGTGGCACTGTTGAGATCAATGAAGGCAGCCATAGGAGATAGAGAAGGTGTAATGCGAGTGGTGAGAGTGGGAGAGGGATATTTGAAGCATAGCAATAGTCCAAAAAGAAAGAGACCCGGTTTCACTCACCTATCACCCTCTCTTGTTCATTTTCGGGGTGTTCAGGAGAGAGTGAGGCTTTTTGGGTAAGCATCAAATCACCCTTTCGTTGTTGGGGCTTAATTAATTAATTAATTATTATTATTTTGCCTGCAGCCTGGTGCAGTGGTGCAGCTGCTCAGACCTGACTCCTGAGACTGTTGTTGGGTGTGGCAGAAAAGAAAGACTCATTTTTTGTGTTCTGAAGGTTATTTTGCTGTCTTCGACCGTACGGTCTCCCTGTATTTTCGGGCGGATGTCTATTCTGTCCCCTTCTATTTCACCAAATATCACACCTATCCTTCTGCTGCTTATTACTTATTACTCCATTCTAAATACTATTTCTTCTTCACCATCTCATTAATTCAATGCACATGTTAGATTCTCCCACCACTTCCATTGTACTGTTTTCAGCATTTTCATATCATTAAATGAATAGATATATAGTTTGGATGGTTAAAAATAAAAAAGAGAAGGATTGAAGGAAATTTCTCTATTTATTTAGATGAATGGAAAAGAAAATAAAAATAAAGTATACTAAAAAAGTATTTATAATTATTAAAAGTATAATGTTTAATTTATTTTTTTAACACAAAAATATTTAATATATTTTTCAACCTTTTTATATTATAAAAATACATTATGTCCTCCCATTCATTTAAATGTGAAAAAATACCTTTTATCAATCTCATAAAGGGTCTTTTTTATTTTTCTATAAGATATTTTTTTAACAAAAATAAACCTTTTTTTTATGTGCTTGTCTTTTTTTTAAAAATAATTATATATATATATAAATAACTCTTATTTCCTCTAAAAAAATAACTCTTATTTTTTTTTTAAACAAACTGGTTCAAAAATAACTTTTTTTTTTGTTTTCCTCTTCATATAAACAATAAAATTCAGTATCTTTTATTACTTCTTCTTTTTATTTCTTTCTGTAATATTTATACAGACATAAAAGGTTAAAACTTAAATATATTTTTAATTCTTGTAAAATAAGTTAATTTTTATTTTTATTTTTTATCATTTTAAAATTTGTAAACATTATTATTAATTTTTGTAATTTTTTTATTTTTATTTCTTTAAAATATAAAATTATTATTTTTATCCTTGACAATAATTTTAAAATAGATAAATATTATTTTTTTTTAAATTATGAATTTCTTTAAGATATATCACACACTAAAATAATATCAATACTAACAATAATTAGTAACATTAAGATGATTACTAACTTTATGAACAAATGAGTAGCTACATACTAATAAAACTAAAGATAATAATTTTATATTTAAAGAAATAAAAAATAAAAATAAAAATAATTGAATTAAAACGAGTCAAAATCTAATTATTTAGGTTGAAAATTTTAATGACAAAAATATACATAAAGAACTTGTTTCAAATTTTGTCCATTGTACTATAATCTAATGTAAAATGTCTGGCCATGAGATCTCATTAGAGTAGAAAAAATTGGTTCCCAGTGGATTCTAATCAAAATCATGTTGAACCTGATCATTGAGGACACACCTTATCTTTCCTTAGCACCTATTACCACTCGTATTGGACAGGCAACGGGGTTAATGTTGACAATTAACTAAAAAACAGAGACAAGTGCAAGACAGAGGAGGTTGGAGATAGGAAGTTGCATGTTGTTTTTAAGCATTCCTCTTTTCTCTAACCTTACCATTACCAATTAGTTTTGACTTTATCGTTAGGATCCTATCGTAATTATTAGGTGTCTACTTAGACAAAAAGCAATGAATAATCGGGTCACCATGCCTAACCAACTTGGGAAGTGGTAAATTAATGAACAACTTTATACTTACTTACAAGTCTACTCCATTGGCTCTTTAGGCCAACCTTTGCAAATGAGGACCAGATCGTTGCTTTAAGTATGACACGTTAGTTAATCATTGATGCGCCCATGCTCCGTTGCCCACTACTTACTACCCTATGCCTCCCTAGGAAGACAACTTTTTCACTTTCTCACTTTCCATTCACCTCATTTACAGCCTTTTAATATTTGCTAATAAAACCAGGGGAAAAGTAATGATTGCTAACTTGAAAGTAGTAGTAAACTGCTCTAAAATTTTAAATCCAAACTTTCTTTATGAATATTTATTTAATTCCCAATTATAAATATTATCCTTCTATTTTTTTTACTAAGATTTATGTATAAAAATTAAAAAATATATATTAATATTTTAGTTTTTTAAAATATTTATTATTTTTTTTTATATCTTTTAGGTAATTAAAAAAGAAATAAATATATTAAAAATGAATAAACACATTGTTTAATAAATATACATTAATTATCAAAAATAAAAATAAAAAATTAATAATTCATTAATTTAAAAAAAACAATAAAAAAATGTTAAAATGACTATAAATAAAAAAACGAGAGTACTATTAAACATAAATTTTGTGAAATTTTTGGAATAACTGTTTTTAACGTACAAAGAGATAATAAAATTTAAATTTAATATTTTGTATATATACTATCCTATTAGATTTACCTTAGTTATTTGTTGAATTCTTACATAGTTTATTTCGATATATTATTGGTGACATTAATCTCTAAATGATAGAAATTACATTTATGAAAGGTTGTCAAAGTTTAACATGTTTTAATTATCGGTCTACTGAACCATAAAAACTTGGTAGTGGGATAAACATTATAATCTACTAATTATTTGTTTAGTTTGTTAATCGCAAAACTAAAAGTAAAGGAAATTAACTCACTAATTCACTTAAATTTTAAATATTATTTTATAATTTATTCTACTTTATATATGAAAATAACATTTATTCTAAAAGGGGATTTGATATTCTGAGTTGTACTTTGATATTTTAGTTTTTTTATGTTTAATTTTAAGAAGTCATTGACTATAATTTTTAATTTGAATATAGTTTTTACTTCTAAATAATGAGATAATAATTGTTTTAGATTATTAATATACTTTAAATTTTTCAACTAAATTTGTTACTTTAGGTTAGAAAATAAAATTCATATTTTTTATTTTTATTTTCGACAATTAAGTCTGTCAATGGTCAACCTAATCTTAAGTGAGTTGTTTAGGATTTTCAGTTCGTCTCATTTTTTGTAGACCTCTGTTATCCCTAATTCATATGTCAAATTATCATTTAAGACAATTCTTAAATAACTATTTTATTATTATATTTGTGATTCCTAAGATGAGAGTAAGTTATATCTGATTAGATTTAACTTGAATATATAAATTTAATTTATTTTATAAAATTAAAGTTTAAGTATGATATAATTATTATAATTTTTTTATAAATTTAATCTAATCTATTAATTTATTTAAAAACTTATTTTATATTAATAATATTAAATAAAATCGTGTGTTGTAAGATGATGTGTTGTGCTGTAAAGTTGTGCTGTGTTGTATGTTGGCTGAGATGTTGTAGGCCATAATGGCTGAGTTGTTGTAGGCCATAATGGCTGAGTTGTTGTAGGCCATAAAGACTGAGTTATTGTAGGAGATCTCCGAGATGATATGCGTGACGACGCATTATTTATTATTTGTTGGTTTGCTATACAATCGATGAGATGTATGCTGACGATGTGTTGATAGTTGTAGTTGTTCATATTACTTAAATCTTGCTATATGTTGTTCTTTTACACTAGCTTACCCTTTGTTGTTTCCATGTGGTTGAACTGCGATGATCATACTATGTATGGGAGCAGAGCAGGGATAGGTGGGTGGCTAGTGGTGAGTCTGCAGCTGGCAGGAGGAGCTGATCCTAGTAGATGTTTTGTTGTTTTAGCTACTTGGTGTAGTAGCTTGGTTGTATTTTTGTACATTTTGAATCTAGTCAGACTTGGACCATGTATATATGTATATTCTAGACATTATATGTATACACTTGTTCCCTTCTGTCCGGTTTTCAGGTGTACTGTGTAGTGTGTAGTGACCAACCGGGTCGTTACACTAAATTTAGCAGATAAATGACCAAAATAAACATTTTAAAAAGTAAAAAATTAAAATAAAACTAAAAATTAGGATCAAGTACAAAAAAATATAATTTAGCCTAACATTTTTAATACATTTTTTATGTTATATTTAATTACATAAGATTTACCGACATTTGTTTAAAGCAAGCATTATTTATTAATCTTAAAATGTTCATTAAATCAAAAAATTGTTACTTTAAATTTTAAAGAGACGAAATTCAAAAATTTTTTTATAAAAACTAAAATCAAAATTTACTTATTATACAATAAAAAAATAATATTTACAAATTTTAGAAAAATAAAAATAAAAGAAAATTTTAAGGACAATAAGTAAAACTCACTCAATTTATATGGACTAAAAATATATTTAAATCTTAAATTAATATTCATTTATATGAAAACCCTATAATACGCATTACACTTTTAATTAATAAAAATATCCTTATATAATTTATAAAATAATTATTATAAAAACAAAGTAAATTTATCAACAACAAAAAATATGTCCTGCTATGGATATTTCTTAGCTTACAACTTTGCCAAAAGTTAATATTCTTTAGAACCTTGACCGTATTAAAGTCATCCAAGATTCAAACTTGAAATTTTGAAACTTGAAAACCAATCAAAACATCACTTGGACTAACAAATGTCGGTAAATCTTATGTAATTAAATATAACATAAAAAATGTATTAAAAATGTTAGGCTAAATTATATTTTTTTGTACTTGATCCTAATTTTTAGTTTTATTTTAATTTTTTACTTTTTAAAATGTTTATTTTGGTCATTTATCTGCTAAATTTAGTGTAACGACCCGGTTGGTCACTACACACTACACAGTACACCTGAAAACCGGACAGAAGGGAACAAGTGTATACATATAATGTCTAGAATATACATATATACATGGTCCAAGTCTGACTAGATTCAAAATGTACAAAAATACAACCAAGCTACTACACCAAGTAGCTAAAACAACAAAACATCTACTAGGATCAGCTCCTCCTGCCAGCTGCAGACTCACCACTAGCCACCCACCTATCCCTGCTCTGCTCCCATACATAGTATGATCATCGCAGTTCAACCACATGGATGAGTTGTTGTAGGCCATAAAGACTGAGTTATTGTAGGAGATCTCCGAGATGATATGCGTGACGACGCATTATTTATTATTTGTTGGTTTGCTATACAATCGATGAGATGTATGCTGACGATGTGTTGATAGTCACATACAATTTTTTATTATAATTTTTATGATAAAAATAATTTA